ATATATATATATATATATATATATATATATATATATATATATATATATATTTAGAATGATAAATAATTAAAATATATATTAAATTAATTTGAAAAAAATATAAGTGTTTCTTATTTACAAATTTAATCATTTGCAAAAATAATTAAAATTTAATTTCAATCTATAAGTTAGTTAAAAATATATAGAACTAAATCTATATGATCCGTTTAATAATAATGGTAGAATAATAATGGTAAAATAATGGTAGAATATCTCACAAGGGATTAATAAAAAAAATTAATCAAAATAATAAAAAAATATTTTTATAAAAGTTGTAAAAATAATTTTTGTGGATATGGGAGAGATTAAAGTCAAGTTAACTTTTTTTAAATAAGATCCAATATTTTTTATTCATAATATAAATATTAGCATTTATTGAAATGAATACAATAATCTATTATATGATATCATTTTATACAACAGAATAATGTAAATTAAATCCATAAGAATTAGATCAAATTTTAGCAGAATTTTATATGGCATCATGCAGAATGATGCTAAATTAAATTGTGTTATATTTATATTTATATTATGTGTTATGTGTGATATTTTTTAAAATTTTATTGAAATTTCTTAAAAAAATAATCCTTATTATGCAACATAAATAAAATTGTAAAATGTAATTTTACTTACATATGTTATATTTTAATTATAATATAATTTTTTAAATATAATAAATTACATAGTAATATAATTATTTAATCTTAATAAGTAATGAATTATTCATATATATATATAAGAACAAATATGAATATTTAAAATCATTCCTCTATTATATTTTGATTTTATTATATTTTAATATATATATTTTTTTATTGTGCATATACTTACATTTTATAAACAGAAATTATAAAAGATATAGAATATTTCAATTAAAGAAGACCACTTAAATATTTCTTTATTCCTTTATTTTTAATAAAGCAAAAAATTTTTATGACAATTTAAATGATTTTAAAAACAAATACAATGAAAGAAAATTTTTTTGCATTTTATTTAAATTTTTTCAAAATCATTGATTTTTTAAAAAAATCTATCTTTTTTTAGTTTATCTTATATAAAAAATTATATTTAAATCTGATTATGATTTACAGATGATTTTGAATATAAAAAATGCAATTATAAAGTAAAATATGAAATTATAAAATAATATTAAGATGATACTTGAACTAACTATGTATATAAAACTAAAAATGTTCTAAGTAATGTTAACAATAATATTAAACTTTCTGATATCCATTCATGAATTGTAATATTCTATTAATTACTATAATAATATAATAATATAATAATAGCACAAACTCTAATTATATATTCATATTTTTTGAAATGATAGGTTATAGTGGTAATATTTCTTTTTTTTAATTTTTAAATTATTTAATTAAATTAGATTATTGGATTAATGGATTAAATTTCATTATAATCTGACTCCTTTAGATTTTTCTTTAAAAAAAGAATATTTTTTATGTCTAAAAATTATAGTTCAGATATATTTAAATATATTTTTTCAGTCATATAAAATAGAATAAAAAAATATATATATATATCTGATAAAAAATATAACTGACTATATATGACTTTGAAAAATTCATACAAGAAAAAAAGTAATAATACAAAAAAGATTTATCAAAATTACTTAAATTATATTATATTTTTTGTATCATTAAAATCTAAAGAAATATTTATGTGATCTTTTTTAATTAATTTATTTTCATAAACAAATATATTAAATTCAAATCATATTATCATTCAAAAATTATAATATCACTATAAAAATTAATAAGAAGTGATGAAAGTTTGCTTATTTGTTTATAGTTTATTTGTTCCTTAAAATCTAAGTATATTATTTTTATCTTTTACATTATTTTATGTTTATTTAAATATGTTACTTTTAGTATTGTTAAAAATATATCAAATGCTTTATGAAATTCAATATTAGATTAATGGAACTATACTATTTATAATATTTTATTAATATTGCATTAATTGTAATATTTTATCAAAAGCAATCATGTAAATTTAGATAAAGGAATTAAAATTTATTAAAATTTAAGAAAGATTAATATATACATTTAATATTTAGCAGCAAATAATAAAAATACGAAAAATAAATTTTTAATTATGTTATTTAATTCATGCTTTAACTATACTATTTGTAACATATGATTTTATATGATTGTTATTTATTAAAAGTCGAACTTAATTATATTCACAATTTCAAATTTAATAGAAAGTTTTATTATGTATCAAGAGTATAGAATTAGAGTATTTTTTAATATAAATGTAGCTGTTCTATAATTTATTACTGAGCAAAACTTAAATATTATGTATTAAGTTCTACATACTTAAATATCATCAAATAATCCTCTTTGTGGAGCTACACAATTGCTATTTGCAATAAATGCTCTTGCTGTATCAGTATGTTCTTCATAAAAATCATCGGCTTGATAACCTCTATCATAACTATTATTTGCACCATAACTATCAACTCCAGATGCCATGCCAACATAATATTCTGTAGGATCAAAA